AGAGAGAGAGGGGGGGAGGGAGGGAGAAAGAGAGAGGGGGGAGGGAGAGAGAGAAGGAGGGAGGGAGGGAGAGAAAGGTAGAGACAGAGACAGTGGGGGGCGGGGGTGTAAGAAGGACGGAGAGAGAAGTGGGAGAGAGGCAGAACGTGTGCGCGGTGTGCGTGCGTGCGTTTGCGTGTATGCATGCGCGCGTGAGAGCGAGGCCGAGAAAAAGAAAGAGAGAAAGAACGAGTTTTTAAAAAAATAGAGAGAGAAATAGAAAGGAGAGAGAGAGAGAGAGAGAGAGAGAGAGAGAGGAGGGGGGATGGGGAGAAGAGGAAGAACAAAGACGAAAAGAAAGAAGAGGGAAGGGGGTTAGAAAAGATGGGGACAGCTGAAGACAAAGACAGTTCAGTCTAGTCTTGAGCAGAACGAGTCAAATCCCTATTATTTCTTATTATTATAGAATGGGGGCAGCAGTTAACAACCAGGGAATCAAGAAATGGGGTGGCTTAGGTGTGGGGGGTGAGTTGTGGGTCTGAGGAAGGAAAGCGCATCGACACTGCACATCAATACAATAATGGTCATTTAGGGAGGGTGGAAAAAGGAAGAAAGATACAACACAATGAAAGGAAAGAAGTATGCTTCCGCGGAAGCCGAGAATGTTTCTGAGTTGTCTCAGAGGGTCTGCTGGGGTAATAATAGTCGTAAAGCGCATAGAACGCTATACGAATGCAATTATCATTATTAAAGAAGTAGGACCTACCAGTGGCGCCCACCAATCACCAGCGCACACAGACGCCAACCTGGTCATTCAGTACTGGAGCAGAGCAAGGCATATATACGTTACCGGGGAGAGAGAGAATGAGAGAGAGAGAGAATGAGAGAGAGAGAGAGTGTGTGAGAGAGAGAGAGAGAGAAAGAGAGAGAGAGAGAGAGGAGAGAGAGAGAAAATGAAAGAGAGAGAGAGAGAGAGAGAGAGAGAGAGAGAGAGAGAGAGAGAGAGAGGGGGGGGAGAGGGAGGAGTAGAGTAGAGAAATAGAGAAGTAGGACCTACCAGTAGGGCCATTGACCCACCTTCGTGATCAGTCGCTGTATACCAAGAGTCAAGACACTGCCACAGGGCAACAGTACATCAAGTTGTAGTTTTAGTAAGAGTTTAACGGCACTTTAGTTTTAGTATTAGAAGACGTTTTACGGCGCTTGCAACTGCATAATGGCACTTGCAAAAAAAAAAAAAAACAGCTCATGTAAGTTCCCATGATTAGAAGAGTTACGTGAGAGTAAAATACCAAGAAAAGAAGGAGGATAGACAGTAGTGCTGGGCGGCTAGGTTCCCGATTATTGAAAGATAGGAATCGTAGGAATCGACTCCGAACCCAATTACTTACATT